ATAAACGTTTTTCAGGGACGTTACTTATGCATTATCCTTTCTCATGGGCAAGTGGTATAGTAGCAAGTGGCGCGGATTTACCACGCTCATAGCGCGAGGACCAAATCCTAGTTCGTGGGGAGCTCAGAGCGACTGCGGCCTACTATTTTAGATTTTATGAGATAACACCTAAATGACATACGCCATGCACCCTACCCCCATTTAGAATCGAACCGTCGTAAAAGCCTTTAAAGGCGATTTGGTCTATACATTGAGTTGCGGGGTGAGCCAATGTAATTATTTTCCCAGAAACGGTACAAAGTAAACGACCCCGGAAGGGTAGCGGCTTGGTTAACCTAAAAAGCGTACGAGCCGAGATTCACTCCTCAGACCGCACGTTTGGTAAGGAGAGCCAATTGAAGTTCCAACATTACCTCGTCGTCACTTCCCGCTCCATGCGATCCCCAATCCGTCATTCCATGATCGGCCGTCATTACAAATGCCGTGGCTTCATCATTGAAAAACTCATTGAACACTTGCTGCGTACGCTCTATTCCGCGATCAACCACTGAAACACGACGTATTCCATATTGAGACGTACCAAATCTTAGGAGAAACCATATGTGTATCTAATTACTAAAGTAACCGTAGTTGTGGGAAAACTCCCACCTTGAATGTTGTCTAAATACTCCTTGGAATGTGGCTTATTTCCGTGCCCATTCGTATCGAGGCCTAACAGATGGAGGAAGAAGACTTGCTTGTCAGACGTGAGACGTTGTTTTAGCGCGGCGTCGTTTTTGGCATCGTTGAAGAATTCCTTCAAAAAAGTGGGTACCAAACAAATCTGAAAGTATTCAAAAAAGGCACTTACCTCGACATGAGTGAAAACCCATTCATCAAGCTTATACGCCTCGTTGGATCCGAAGTCCTCATCGCTCTCAGAGTACATGAAAGAGTGGACATGAGCGTAGTTGTCGAAAAGGGTCATAATATCCGGGCTTCCCCACATCCACGACTCCTTTGATCTGAAATATGAAGGGTAACGATATGCTACGACTCAAAAATTTCATATTACTCATGTTTATCGATGCTTTGTGTATGATAGACGTCGTCCCGAATCGTTTGGTATATTCGGGTCAGTTGTTTCGGGGGCTACCCCACTTGACGTCGACGGACTACTTGAACTCAGCCCTTTAAACCCTCTGCGCTCTCTCGCGGGTCCCTCTCCTCTCCAAGGCTTAGTCCTAGGGCATTCTCTAATCGTCTGTGCTCTAGCCATCGCGGCAGGACCATTGAGGAAAAATCAAGTAGTCCGTAAACCCCCCCCCCACTTTCTTCACGATTTGGGGCGCGGCCGCGGCGAGCGCGGACGAGTTGGTAGTGCCCGCGAACTGTGCGGGTAGGTTTGAAAACACTCATCTGCACAGTTCGCGGGCACTATGAACTCGGCCGCGCTCGCGCCTCAAATAGTGATCTGATCTCAAATAGAGATCTGAGAGATCTGCAGGTACTGACAATGGAGAATAAGACATTTACTCATGGCCAAAATTCTGAACATTATTACACTCAACTGAGGCAGGTTATCAAATAAAGGCTTGCACATAATATTTGGACCAAGAGCGTTATTTATTATGCCCACCGCAGAATGAAAAGCCTTTGCTGGCAGATTACACATATGGAAGTATACAGGACATGGCGAAGTTTCTATATGCTATGGGAGTCAGCGTGTGGTTCACTAGGACAGAAGCGACTTTTTCGCGTTTCGCGGCGCGAAACATTTTCGCTGCGGAACCTCAGGTCCACTCATGATCAGCGGTGGACCTGAGGTTCCCGCAGCGAAAAATGTTTCGTGCCGCGAAACGCAAAAAATCGCTTTTGTGAACCACACCCGTGGAGTAAAGTTGAACACTTTGGATAGAACCTTGGCTATACTGCGAACTATTCAACAAGGGGTGAAAGTTTGTTAGTAAAATACTTGAGTGTAAGCCTTGATTTCGACAGAAATTGGTCCAGTAAACACGACGTAAACGTATAAGTATTTCAAAACCTTTCAAATGTATGAAAAATGATCAAGTACGTGACTTGCTGAGCTCTTCTACTGAAACGAAAAGAAAGAAGACCAAATATATAACCAAATATGTTCACCTGTTAAAGATGCTATCAAACGGTACAGGGTTATGCTTCCATCCACGAGCAACTGCGCTGACATCTTCGGTGAATCCGGCAAAAATAGCCACATGACCAGGCCGTGATTCTGTTGGCACATGAGTGCGGGAAACTGCATATACGCCCTAGAAGTATCGGATCATTTAAGTTGAAAGATCCGCACAATGTAAAGCCGTACCTTTCGTTCTTTGATGAGCGAGTGTAAGAATGGGGACTTTTCTCGATGCCGAGCAAATGTATCAAAACGTAGTCCATCTATGAGGTATGAATGCTCTCGCTTGTGCAAGTCTTTATAAGTTTTCGCTCGAATTTCATTCTTTCCCTCGCAGATGCAATGGCGCCTAGCCTGCGCCGGAGTTCTCATCCATG